GGAGGAAATGGACACTGTCATTTTTGTCCATCTCGGTGAAGAGATTTTGCTGCATGCATTTCTAAAGTCTGGGTCTGAACCACTATGTGATGGACCAAATTGGTCTTAGGGTTTCTGTGACAGTCTTATCTTCAGTAGCACTATGGCACGAAGAAAGGACACTGTCCTTTTTCCTTTTGGCTAGGTCAGATGCATGGCAATTTCATTTCAGCCTTATCGATTGGTAAGAATGTATTGAAGTCTGCATATTCCCTAATATCTGTGATGTATAGAATAAGATAGTATACATTTAAATACTGGAGAAAAAGAAACCAAGGGATTAAGGCACCCATCCTTCCCCACCACTACCACTTCTAAAAAAACACACAGCAATACTGACTTGGATCTATTTGCCTGTCTATCTGTCTGTTGTATCAGATATATATCACTGTTTTTTCTTAAATTGCACTCCAAGTACTTTCTGTAATTCTAGATTATGATAGCTTTACTCTGTGAGTATTCACAGTGAAAATGTCGTCCTGTCTGAATTGACTTTTGATTGATTTTCTTTGCGAACCTGCAGCACCTTGATCCAACCTAATAGCAGTGGGGAGCTGCCGGAAATATGGAGGAGGGTGGAACAGTGGGGCCAGTGTCAGCCTTTAGATTATCCTGGTAGTCATAGTCACTGAATGTGCTACCCAAATTGCTTTTATTTTTTTTATCACAATTGGGTATGGCCTTTTGGAACCACCTGTACATTTTGCAAGCACTGCTTTGCTGACACAGCATCAACTGGGCAGGTTGGGAAGTGCTCCTAAAGGGAGCAGTCATGTTGGGTGGCTTCACCTCACCTCCCCATGGAATGTTTGAAATGCAGGGTGGATAGATATACATCAAGTTCAGTTCTGGCCAATCATGTGAACATCCCTCTTTTAAAACAACCAAGGTGTTTTTTCTTTGAGAAAGTCTTGCAAATTCCTGGTTTTATGAGTGCATTGAAAAACAAAACCATGTTCTTATGCACACTAGAAAATCTGCATATATTCAGAAAAATGACATTAGAAATGTGATGCTTTTTGGTTAAAAATGAATACACTACAAAGTTTACCTATCAAAGCTGAAAAACAAGTCACCAATGGGAGCACATTGAAATATGATTTTGGAGAATTTAGGCAAAGTAAAAACATAGTGCTATTTCCAACCCCATGAAGATCTAGGCTGATCACACCATTCATAAATGATCTTCCAAACCAGTTTTTGCTCCATTTTAACACTCCATTTAGAAGCAGGTGGGAAGCATGCATGCAGTTTCCTTCTACAATACGGGCATTAATTTCAGGTTTGTCCGAAGTATCACAGACCACATTTCTATAAAAGCAGCTTCTGGAGAGGTGGAAATATACAAAGCGATTGCAGAACTGGAACCATGTCACTGAGTGATTTGTATGCTTCTTATTCTCTTCCTCCCCTGATGACTTAGGCACAGCCTCACTCTGTGTGCAGTGAGAGCTGCAATCCTGGTTCTAGGAAGAAGATCAAGGAAGGAGAGCCATTTTGCTGCTACGATTGCATCCCATGCCCCAGGGGGAAGATTTCAGGCAAGAAGGGTAGGCATTAGAATGCACATCTATTCCAATATGTACTCTAAATTTAGTATATGGATGTCTTCAGGGATTGAAGTGTCCTTTAATGGGGCAGGTTGGAGCAAGTGAAAGATGTTGAATAGTGGTGGAGGAAGCTGGTGTGTGATCATTTGCTTCTGATTTTTCAAAGGACCCAACAGTGGTGGATTCTAAATACTGAGGATGGTTGGCTGATCCTTGACTATTGAAACACACGCTTGAAGCTTGCTCTTTAACACTGCACAGATTCTTCCATTGATTCTAAAAGATTGTAACTCATGAGTAATGAATAAGAAATAATGAAGGGAGGCTGGTCACAGTCAGTACATCTCTGTGATCACAGCTATGATCACTCGATTATCATTGCCTGTGATTCCAAAGCAAGATCAGGGTGGAGTTTTGCAACCACCTACATGCTTTCAATGAAGGCTTGCATGTTTCTGTGCAGGTTTATTCAG